ATTACATAAATAGCCTGTGAATTTACATGTCTAATATAAAATAATGTGAAAAATATTTAACGGTAAATAATCATAAATTACTGCTTATTTTGAAAAATAATTCCTTTGTTTTATATAAACAGACATTACAGACATTTACTGTTTATTTAACAGATTAATGGCTCCCTAGCTGCCAGAATATTATTTTTTTTCACTTTTTCTGTAGAAGACTACCTACAGTCTAAATCTTGAAGCGTATGGCAACTGACCAAGCAGCAGTATTTGACGAGTTGCGAGTGAAAACATGTAGCATCTGAGCATCTGAGAACCTTTAAAGGATGTGTGAGAATAATGTAGTGATTACTCTGTGGTTCCAGTTTTGAACAGAGACATATGTTTCTAGTTTACCACGAACACACAACAGTGACACACACAGACACACACAGAAGGACTGATTTCGTTTGGATTAGGAACATGTGTCCTGCTCATTTCCTGCGGAACGCCATATCAGACAGAGTAAAGAGAGAAAAGGTGGATAAACAGCAAATCTCTTGTCTACTTTAAATATCCTACAGACATTTTTAAGTCTCCTCTTTCTTTGTACCCATTCTGAACAGCTCATGCTCTACAAGACGAGAAAAACACTGCCGTTATTAGTCTATGTTCCTTTTGCTTTCAAAAATCTCTCTCTCTCTCTCTCTCTCTCTCTTAACACATGATAGTCATGAGAGTGTGGGTTCCAGTCCTAAATGCCTGCAGGCCTATTCTTTCCCAGAGAACACTTGGCTGTTGTTCATTTCTGGCTGCATGAATTGTAATGTCTTATTATTCTGTTTACCAGAAATCAGATGTGTACTGCAGGATAGATCAGACTGGCAACCAAACGTTGAGTGTCTTTAGACTGTATGTTTTAATCCTTAAAGTGTGTTTATGTTAGTACTTTCTTTCAGGGAAAACAAGACAATCTAGGTGAAAGCACAGTCTATATGTTGATTTTGTTAATTCATCTACACCCCCTTTCCACTAATGCAAACATACTGCTAATTCTGGGCTGGTGCTAGTGCCAGTTCACCTTCGTAGAATCAGTTTGCTACTCCACAGGCTAGAGAGCCACATCATTACGTCATTGTATACATCTCCAATGTTACCAAGGTTACGTTAGGTGGCTAGCTAGCTAGCTAGCTACTGGTCAACATACAACAACATGCTAATTTCTCACATATATGTTACATATATGCATATATACTGACCTTGAACGTAACATTAAAGTTTCAAACAGTATGAGAAATTACTAGCTGTCTTTGACATATAAAAGATGCACGTTGCGTCTACACTTTCTCCACTGTACAAAAATGAAGCCATAATATCAAGGAAAAAAATGACAGGAAAAGTATTTGGGAAAAATTTATTTTTAGTGTAATTTTTTAGTTTGGCCCATCTGTTAACATGGTGGCAGCAGACTTTATGACCTATACTGTCAGCCACCAGGGGGGAGATAGAGATGTTTTGGCTTTACTGTTATAGAGTTGTCATGTCATCCATCTTCATATATGTCAATGGTAGCTATGATTGCTTGGGTAACATCATCTAGCCAGCCAGCTAGCTCAATGTTTGTAACATCTATGTGTTAAACAGCTACCAAATACATAGCTGGCTGGCCACAAGGCACCCCTAGCCCCTGTTAAAAGCAAACAGAGGCAACCGTGGGGGTTGTGGAGAGATTATTTTTCATCTTCCATCTACTAGTATGTTTATTTACTGATTTTCTACCTCGACCATTTCTCATCTTCGCTCTGCTACACTGAGAGTGGCTGAGTCAGCAAACTCTGCTGACCACATCGTGTAGCTTGTAGCAAACACTGACCCCATTGAATGCACCGGTGAATGACACATCCATGGTTCAATCATAATTGGTCTCAGTTGTACATCAAAATGACCTGATTTATCCTCCAGTCAGCATCGAGCAACTTTGTACAATGTCATTTTAGTGTCTCTCCCTTCCACTCTCCACCTCCTCTGTTTACCCTTGTTTTAGGTCTCTGTCTCTCTCTATCTGTCTCTCTCTCATGTATGTATCACCTCTGGGCATACAGCCAAGGAACAATAGAAAACACACACACACACACATACAACCACACACACAGACCCTCTAGCTCTTTCTATTTCCTGTGTTAGCAGCATGTTGAGCAGAGGCAGCAGAGTATTGCTGGGAAACCAACCACGCTCTCAGCAGCAGGAGCCAGTGCGCTCCACATTCCCGCCGGTATTCACCATACTTCAGTGTTCCCTTTCAAAGGTTGAGTTTTGCATTTATGATGACTTGGATGAACACAAATACTGATTTACACAAGCCTGAACAAGATGTCTTTCTACTATTACCAGTAGACTGGTACTGAATTAAGTACATTGATGCACATGAACTAACTGGTATGCTTCATTCAGCTGTGGTCTCTTTACATGAAAAAATTTACAATATTCTAGTTATAGGCCTTTTCATAACAGATATTTTGTCTTGCACATGTGTTACTAACATCAATGAAGGTATGTTCCATTAAAGGACCAGTGTGTAAGATTTAGAGGGAAGTTGCAGATTGCAACCAGCTGAAAACTCCTAGCCCTATCTAGAGTCAGTGTTTTGTTTGTCCGTTCTGGGCTACTGTAGAAACATGGTGGTGACAAAGTAACAAAAGCTATAGTTCCTCTAACGGCCACTTGAG